GCTCTAGCCTGCCATGAATATGTGGTGGAGGTTTTGTTAACTCGGTGGGGGTTCCCTCCCCCAGGGGGGTCGCAGGGGGCACAGCCCCCTGCAATAGAGAGTCGTGTGAATAACCATGGTTATTTCCACTGTGGGTCATTATATCATTAGAGTTATCTGACCCCGCATTTTTCCTGGAACCTTTCATGCCCTCCCCTGCTATCGGGGCCAAGTTTGTCGCTATAAGGGGGTTTCCACGCAATAAAAACTATATATTTGCAATGTGGACAGTGCTAGGAATCCAACGATACCAAAATCGTCGATTTCGGAGCGGCGGACGTAATATAGAAAATTACCCATAATAATAACTGACAGCTTGCTGAATCACTAGGAAACGCACACGAAAGTAAGTACCTTCATTTCTCCACTTGTGGTTGGTATCACTAAAAGAAATTGAAACTGAAACAATCATAAACAACACATTACCTTGTCTACCTGCAGTAAAGTAACGGTAGACTCCTGCTGCTAAACACAAAATCGTAAATCACAAACACATCAACTCCTCTCTCTTGTGCCCTTTCCTTCGCAAACCAGAATGAACTTCCACTGCGAAGGAGAAAAAATACAGCACGAAAGAACCACACAAAAGCACTTCTTAATCACTCTCCTATCAATCCAGCATTAAAAGCCACTGGTAACCCCCTAAAGAAACAATCCCAGGAAAGGAAACACTGCGCACACACCTCCACCAAAGGGCCCGGAGGCGAGACCTGTCGTGGCCTCAGGCGCTCCTGCGAGGATTTGTTTACATCACGTGTCCTGTAAGGTGCCAGCTAGCCCTTTTCGTGCTGGATGGTTTATATATGTTTAAACAAATGTATGATATGAGTTTTGTATGCAATGAATAGGATTTATTGCTTTATAGATTAGTTATTTCATTATTTGGGGGTTTATTATTTTTTCTGAGGTACTTTACGGATGCTCGTTTGATATTCCTTATAATGCGATATGGTATTGGTAATTCATGAATTGGTGTCATAAACCCGCAGTTAATTCCTCTTAATAAACCGTTATGAAATTTATCTCCATCTTACTTTAATCCATAATATTGAAGAAACATGTGGATTAGTATGTAAAATGTTGTTGCAGACGACGCATTCACGAAAACACAGGACCGATTTGAAAAGAAAAACAACATGAAAAGGAGGGGAAATATCAATTAAAATCCATTCCTTTACAAAAATCTCCTGTTCACTCGACATTCCTAATATCTAGAGCCTACAGAAACAGAATGGAATAGTTTAGAAAGCCTGTGTAGTGACTACATGATAATATTTCCAAGCAATGTCACACGTAACCCCGGCTTTTGGCTGTTAAATGATGATGCAATCTTTCTCAGAACGGAAAAAAAGATTATGCACGGGTGAAAACCCAATTTGTCTAAACGTTTTACTGTCTCGGTGATACAATATCGACGATTAAGTTCAAGCACGCAAGCACTCTCGAACGGGTAAGTGATATTTTCTGTTACGTATATGAAGTTGTGTTGTATCACGGTGAATGTCGGTCGCCAGTTTTAATGAACCGTAAGTGAAAGGATTATGGTATTATTTTATTAGTGATTAAAAAGCGCTAGACAGAAGGCTGGATTTTATTATCTGCTCTGCTGTAAGAGTATGTATTAACATTACCACCATAGAGAGGGAGGAGAGGAGAGAGAGAGTATGGAGAGAGAAGAGAGAGAGAGAGAGAGAGAGAGAAGAGAGAGAGAGAGAGAGAGAGAGAGAGAGAGAGAGAGAGAGAGAGAGAGAGAGAGAGAGAGAGAGAGAGAGAGAGAGAGAGAGAGAGAGAGAGAGAGAGAAGAGAGAGAGAGAGAGAGAGAGAGAGAGAGAGAGAGAGAGAGAGAAGGAGAACAGAAATTGGAGAGGGAGGAGAGAGAGAATGAAAAAGAGAAAAAAAGGAATGAGAGGGAGCGAAGGGAGGAGAGAGAAGGAGAGGAAGGCGAAGCGAAAAACGAAGAGGAGTAGGAAAAGGAGAGAGCGAGGGCGAGGAACAGGATGGAGAGAGTGAGGCAAGGAGTAGGGGAGAGGGAGAGGAGAGGGGAGAGGAGAGGGAAGGGGCTGACGGGGAGGAGAGGAGAGAGAGAGAGGGAGAGGAGAGGGAGAGGGAGAGGGAAGGGAGAGGGAGCGGGAAGGGAGAGGGAGAGGGAAGAGGGAGAGGGAGAGGGAGAGAGGGAGAGGAGGAGAGAGAGAGAGAAGGAGAGAGGGAGAGGAGAAAGGGAAGAGAGGGAGAGGAAAGAGGAGAGAGGGACGGAGGAACAGGGAGAGAGGAACGAGAGAAAGGAGAGAGAGGACCGAGAGAAGGGAGAGAGGAGAGAGAAAAGGGAGAGAGGTGAGAAGAATAAGGGAGAGAGGGAGAGAGAAGGAGAGCAGGAAAGTGAGAGAGGAAGAGAGAAAGGGAGGGAGGCGATGAGAGAAAGGGAAGAGGGAGAGAGAAAGGTCGAGAGAGGAAGAAGGAAGAGAAAGGAGAAAGGAGAGGCAGAGGGAAGAGAGAGGGAGGAGAGAAAGGGAGAGAGGAGAGAGAAAGGGACGGAGGGAGAGAAAGGAGGAGAGGGGAGAGAGAAAGGGAGAGAGGGAGAGGAGAAAGGAGTAGAGAGCGAGAGAGAAAAGGGAGAGAGGAGAGAGAAAGGGAAGAGAGGAGAGAGAAGGAGAGAGGGAGAGGAGAAAGGAGAGAGGGAGAGAGAAAGGGCAGGAGGGGAGAGAGAAAGGGAGAAAGGGGAAGAGGGGAGAGAGAAAAGAGAGAGAGGGAGAAGAAAGGGAGAGAGGGAGACGAAAGGAGAAAGGGAGAGGAGAGAGAGAAAGGGGAAGGAGAGAAGAAAGGGGAGAGGGCGAGAGAAAAGGAGAGCAGAAGGGAGAGAGAGGAGAGAAAGGATGAGAGAGAGAAGAGAAAGGAGGAGAAAAAGGAGAGAGGGAGAGGAGAGAGATGAGAGATCGATCGAGAGAGAAGAGAGGAGAGAGATGAGAGAGAGAAGAGGAGAGAAGGAGAGAGAGAGAGAGAGACGAAGAGGGAGTATGAGGCAGAAAGGTGTGTGAGACGAAAGCGAAGAGAAGGAGAGGCCCGCAATACGAAGTAGGTAGAGGGAGAGGAAGGTGACAGGTAGTAGGGATCTCGCATGTGCGAGCACGCTAAGAGCGAGAGTGAGACTGAGGGTGAGATCAGGGAGAACGAGGGAGAGGGAGAGGCGAATGGAGAGGAGTGCGGTCAGGAAATAGGAAGAAGAGCGAGGGCAGGGAAAGATAGAGTCCAGGGAAGAGAGTGAGGCAGGAGCGAGTGAGGCAGAGGAGAGGGAGAGGGGATGGAGAGATAAGAGGAAAGGAACAGGTGAAAGGGAAAGGGAGAGGGAGAGGAGAGGGAGAGGATCAAGGAAAGGGAAAGGGAAGGAAGAGGGAGAGGGATGAGGAGGGAGAGGGAGAGGGAAGAGGGGGAGGGGGAGGGGAAGGGGAGGGGGAGTGATAGGATGAGGGGACGGAGGAAGGGCGAGAGAGGGAGAGAGGGAGAGAGGAGAGAGGGAGAGGGGATGAAGAGATAGAGTATGAAGAGAGAGATGAGAGGGAGAGTATAGAGGAGGAGAGACAGAGAGAGAGGAGGGAGGGTAGAAGAGGAGGAGAGGAGCAGAGGGAGAGAGGGGGAGGGGAGAGATAAGAGGGAGAGAGAAGGGAGGGAGCGCGATCGCTGAGGCGCAGAGGAAGAGGAGGAGGGAGAGAAGAGAGAGATGAGAAGGAGAGAAGAGACAGATGTCGAGAGAGAGGAGATGGAGAGAATCGACCGAGAGAGATCGGGAAAACTATTCTGACCGAGAGTACATTAGCTAGTATAGAAGGGACGATCTGATACAAGAGCCTCGTGGAGAGAGAGAGATGAGAGAGGGAGAGCGGAGAGAAAGGATAAGAAGAGAGGGAAGTAGTGTGAGAGGAGAAGTATTGGAGAGGGAGAGGAAAAGGAGGAGAAGGAGCCCGAGAGGAGGGAGAGGGAGAGGGAGGGAATGCAGGGAGAGAGGAGAGAGGAGAGGGAGATGGAGAGGAATGCGGTCAGAAATAGAATTATGAGTATTACCATATGAACGATCTTTTTCTTGTATTACTTGAACAATAGACGCCACATGAGTCTACGGACGGCAAAGACCTGCTGTAACGAAGAAAAAACATTGCGTCGATCTGTATAGTCATGGTGTTTTCTTCTTCGGTTTGCATAACGATACACGATGTGTGTGGTAACATACACGATGTGTTGTGTGTGTGTGTGTGTGTGTGTGTGTGTGTGTGTGTGTGTGTGTGTGTGTGTGGTGTATGTGTGTGTGTGTGTGTGTGTGTGTGTGTGTGTGTGTGTGTGTTGTGTGTGTGTGTGTGTGTGTGTGTGTGTGTGTGTGTGTGTGTGGGTGTGTGTGTGTGTGGTGTGTGTTGTGTGTGTGTGTGTGTTGTGTGTGTGTGCATGTGTGCATGTTCGTATGTGCGCGTGTCTGTGTGTCTACCTGTGCTCGTGCATCAACGTACATATATACAATACTGAAAATATCCAGGACTAACTTGACGCAGCAAAATGTTTACAGTGTTATTGGCCCTCAAAGGCACAAGGCAAAATCAGAATAGATTTTTGATTCACAGACATGAGCTTACTGTTCTGCATTAGATACTTAGAAAGTTACTGAGGCGGATTGTATTGCGTTTCACTTTAGAAAATAATATCGGTTTGAAGTCTCATCAGCTACGCTTTACACTTGACTCTAAATGGCGTATAAACTATAAAGTATTGGCACCTTGTTTTTACCAATTTTTATAACTTTAAAAACAATGGTCATATATTTCTTTTAGCGAAATAAAGATTTAAGACTTTGAGCTCTATCTAAACTTGAACACAGAGAGAGAACCTCTTCTTAATGTCCTGTACTCCAAGACAATGCACGGCCAAGAAAAGGGAAATGACTGTCTAAATGAATTCCTTCTGTTCAGTCCACCCGGAAGAAAAAGTCGTATTGAACTCGAAACGTCATGATACAATTTATTTCATTTCTTTCCTGCTGTGACTGTACCGTTTCTTCCGTTGGCTGCACCTTCGTTCACCTTCCCTCATACTCAGGTATAGAGCCCTCGCCCTCAAGCACCTGAATAGGGAATTAGTAGGTACGAGGAAAGGTAAAGAGCCCTCCCTCATACTCAGGTATAGAGCCCTCGCCCTCAAGCACCTGAATAGGGAATTAGTATCTTTAACATTTTTATTTGATAGCCAATATTAAAGAGGAAATGAGCATGTTTTACATTTGTATTCAATAGCCAATATTTAAATAGGAAGTTAGCATCTTTTACATTTGTATTTAATAACCAATATATAAAAAGGAAATTGGCATCTTTTACATGTGTATCCAATATCAAATATTTGAAGAGGAAATTAGCAGTTTACTAGTAACGGAACGGATCTGTCATTATCTTCATTTCAAATTCTGTGATGTACCTTCATTCACCTTCCCCCAGGCTATATCCACTATTTCAGTCTGTACTGTACTTCCATTCGCCCCTCCCATTTATTCACCCGACGAGGAAATAGGCAGTTGTCTCGAAACGTTACGAATCTCTCGCGTCTTTATCCAGTATTTCAGTCTGTGTTGTTCCTTTATTCCCCTGCCCTTATAAGGCTCGCCTGCACCCTTCCCTCGCGCTCGCCCGTCACTGATATCCCAGGCTTCGGAGGGAGGGATTCGGGGAAGGAGGGGTGAAATAGGGGAGGGAGAGGGGAGGCGGAGGGGGAGGGGAGGGGAGGGAGGGAGGGAGAGAAGGAAGGGAAGGAGGAGCAGGAGTGTTGTGAATTGAGAATGGTAGGGAAGGGAGAAAAGGGGAGGAGAAAGGGGGTGGGGTTTGGGTGGTTTGTGAGGGGAGGGAGGGAGGGGAAGGGAGAGGAAGGAAGGGAGGAGAAGGAGTGTTGTGAATTGAGATGGTAGGAGGGAGAAAAAGGAAGGGAGAGGGGTGAATTTGGGACGGTTGTAGGGTAAGGGAAGGAGAGGGAAGATAGGAAGGGAGGGAGAGTGTTGTGAATTGTGGGATGACAGGGAGAAAAGGTGAATTTGGAATTGGATAGAGTGAGGAGAAGGAGGGAAAGATGGTTAGTGTGATTGGGAAGGCGGGGGGGGGGGGGGAGACTAAAAGAGGTGAGGTGAGGGAAGAGGGGAGGCAGAGTGGAAAGTTGCAGGTGAGGGGGCTGGAAAAGGGGACGGCTCTAAGGAGTTTGGGGGGGAAGGGGGAAGGGGAAGGAGGGGAAGGGAATGGTGAGGTGAAGCGGAAGGAGAGGGGTAAGGAGGGAGGGAAGGAGGGGGAGGCTGAAGGGGGTGAGCAAGGGGGAAGGCAGGGCGGGGTGAGGAAGAGGGGAGCTAGAAGGGAGGGAAGAAGGGGGGCTAGGGGAAGAGGGAGAGCTGAAGGGCAGGGTAAGAGAGGGAAGGGAAGCGCTTGAGCGGAAGGAGGGCAC